GCTAGAAATTGGATGCCAAAAGTCCCTGAGCCCCTGGAGCGGCCCGCGTCTTGTGAAGCTGCCCTTCCCCCCGTAGCCCGCTTCCGCCCAGGGGCTCCGTGGCCTTTATTGACGGCCCACAGGCCAGCAACAAGGCGGCCCAGCATGGCCCGAGACGTTCCGCATTGATTTCAGGACGCCGAGCTCCGTAGCCACTGTGGCTCAAGTTTCGCGATCCAGCGGGGCGCGCTACCCTCTCAGCTTTTGCCTTCTCCTCACTTTCAGCGCGTGCCTGCTACTGCATGGCGCAGAACTACATCAGTGGCTTCGTGTCAGTACATGTGACTGGCCTGCCCACCTGGTTTGAGGATGATGCCGCGATCGAGTCGGAGCTCAGGAAAGCTATGGATCGGCCTGGCACCTGCGGAATGCTGGCTGTCCTGGACGAGGCTCCGACTGAGTTGCCAGTCGCGCTGGAAGGTAGACCAATGGATAGGGTGGAGGGGATGGAGCACAGCATGCCAGTCGTTTCGGAGAAGTACGAGGCAATAGTCTATGAAAGTGCCCAGGCCAGTCACCATGTTTCAGAGTGCCGAAACCAGGATGTCCTGGTAATGAAACATCAGGAGGCCCAAGATGATGTTGGCGGAAGGAGAGATGAGAGTACCGTTGAAGGTGCTGAAGTGACGGGATCAGACGCCGAAGAACCAGAGAGTCTCCAAGACGCAATTGAGGCTGCTACAGAGGAAGTTGACCACGATGTTACAAAATTGTCAGACTCTTGCTATTCTTGCTCTGTGGTCCGGAAGAAGACGGGTGAAAGCAGAGGTTTCTGCTTTCTGGATTTTGAGACCTTGGAGTCTGCAGAAACAGCGATCTACATATTGAATGCAGGTGTGCTAATTGCTGGGTCAATGGTGTCGGCGCAACTTGCCAGTCAAAACCAAGCTGATGCTCAAGCGCAGGCTGACAAACAGAAGAAGGCTAAGAGCAAAGCAGCCCGGCTGCAGAGGGAAGAAAGTGTTTATTTGCCCCAGCTCAAAATCAAACGCCAGGCCTACAGCAAAGACAAGGCGCCAGGAGAACCAGGGGGACCGCCGTTGAGAAAACACGGCGCTCGTCCACAGAAGAGTGCCTTAACCGTTCTGAAAGCGATGCGGACAAAAGAAGAAGAGGTCGAGCGCGTGCACATGTTGCGCCTGGAAGACCAGCAGCGACTTCTGCTGGAGTTGGATAATGCTAAGCCAAGCTTGGAAGAAGTACCACTGTGAGCCTTGACCGATCAGGAAAGTTGAAGAAACAGAGGTACTCTGTCATGGCATGTGCGCGGGCCCAACCGCAAAACAGAAACGACGCACCCAGACAGAAGACCGAACAAGGGTTCAAATAAAGAGGTCCCCACAGAGCTCTCCGGCACCCGAAATCAGTAGAGCTACGTGTTTGTGTTTCTCTCCAATGGTGTTCAGTCCTCGCGTGCAGCGCCAGCCCAGCAACCAGCGGTTGGACGAATCCTCAAGGCTGGCCAAGACTACTTCGATGGGGCCCCACTGCGGCCCAAGAGAGCCCCCAAAGGGCACCAAAGCGCTTCAGAATGGCGTAAGAGAGCCCAAGACGCCCCCTAGTGGCCCCCAGGACAACTCATCATGAGACCCCCCAAAAGGCCCCCTAAACGCCCCTTAGACACTCCAAGCCCCCCCCAAAGGACCCATGAGAGTGCCTAAAGGGCCCTGCAAGGTCCCCGACAATCAACATGCTGGCCTCGCAAGGCTGGATGAAACGCACGAGACGCCCCGAGATAGACCCCCTAGGAGGCCCCAGTCAGCCCAAATTGTCGCAACTCCCAGAGGTCCCTCGGACACCTCAAGCCAGCCGAAGAGGACCCAGGCTAGTGTCCAATGGGTCCTACAGGGTCCCCAACAATTAGCCTGCCCCAACAATGTTCACCAGGCCTCATCAGGCTGGATGAAACGTACGATGATCCTTGAAGTGATTCCCCAAAGCCCGGGTAAGACACACAGTCAAAATCTCCACGGCTGTTCAACATGATTGGTTTATTTGGCTCGACATGACTTCAAGAGGACTTCCGAGGGCTCCAAGGCTGCCCGAGAGGGCGCCACTTGGCCCCCAGAGGCCCCCAGCACGGCTCAAGGCAGCCTCCGGTGGAGTGGTTTATTTACAATGACAGTCCAACAGCGGCCCCACTATGCCCCCACATGGCTCCAGAGAGCCTAAGAGGGTTTTCGCGACCCCATGAGTCTCCGGGCCCATGAAAGCTCAATTTAGCCTAAGTGGCCCCAAGAGGCTGCAAGAGGGCCCCCAGAGCACAACAGGACGGCCTCGCAGAACCCCACCACGGCAAAATGAGAAGACCGTGGAGGAGGAGGAGGAGGAGGAGGAGGAGGAGGAGGAGGAGGAGGAGGAGGAGGAGGAGGAGGAGGAGGAGGAGGAGGGGGGAGGAGGGAGGGAGGGGGAGGAGGAGGAGGAGGAGGAGGAGGAGAGGCGCCGTATCGCCAGGATAACGAGGCAAAGGCATAGGATAGGAGAAACGACGAGTCTGGTGGCGGTGGGGATGGAGCACAGGTGGAGCGTCCGTGGGCACGGCGTCCTGGCGGCCGTCTCGGCAGTGCATCTCTCCTTCCTCGCTCCTCCGCTGTGCTTCTCGTTTTAAGTCGGGGGTTTTTCCCCCTACAGGGGGGATTGTCGACGAAAAATAAAAAGTACCCCCAAAATTGTCAAAACATTATCCAAAAATAGTGTGGGGATCGTTTTTTTGAGTATTTTTTGCCTCTTTGGAGCATTTTGGGGGTACTTTTTATTTTTCGTCGAGGATCCCCCTGGAGGGGGACACGCCCGACATAGTTCTCGTCCCCACGGCCCCCTGGGACGCCGCCGGCGGGCGCCGCCGCAGCCGCGCGCCGCGCCGCGCGCCGCGCCCCACCGCTGCGCCGCGCAGGACCCCGTCGGCAGCCCGCCGCGGCTCCCGGCGCCGCCCTGCTCGGCGGGCTCCGCCTCCGCGGGCTCCAGCGGCGCGAGCACGGCGCTGCGGGAGCTGTCCGACACCGCCAGCGAAGGCTCGGGCCGGGAGGTCTCGGAGGTCCCCGGGGGAGCTCGAGCAGGATCGGAGGCCGCGGAGGAGCCCGAGCAGGAGGAGGACGCGCGCGACGGGGTGCACCGGGCGGAGGAGAAGGAGGAGGAGTGGGAGGAGCGGCGCTCTTCACGACAGGAGAAGCCAGTCCGCATTTTCGAGCTTCGAGCAGCGCTTTTTTGAGTGTCGCAGCCCCAGCTCGCGCTGGTCCCCGCATCTCATCCTCCAGTCCTTCGAAGGCTCCGGCGATAATCCAAACGGTACGGTGACCACACCGTCGAGTGTTGTCTTGGGGATTCCTTTAGATCTTGGCGTAGCGCGAAACATGCAGCAGAAATATGTCTTTGTTCGCCATGAGGGGGGAAAGGTCCTCGTCGCCACGTCTGGATTCGGCTCGAACATCTAGTCAGAGCGCACCCTGGGAGAGGTCCAGAGATTAGCGGTATCGGTATCTTTTGTGTTCCCAATTTCGGAGGGTTTCGGAGGTTTTCGAAGACGCTTCCGAGCCGATCCTGCAGGCCCTGTCCGACACGGCCAGCGCAGGCTCGGCGGGGGCTTGTCGCAGGTGTTGTTCGGAGGTTTTCGGAGGCAGCTTCTCAGAGTTCCAGCGTTGTTGGTTCGCTTTTCAATCGGGGGGCGCGTAATGGGGAGGCGATACAAGGGGGGGCAGCGAGGGCTGCCGAAAAGGGGCCTTTCAGGACGCCTAAAGAGGCCCGTTGGGGCTCCCGGAGGGGGCCTTCAGGGCTCAAGAAGGGTACCTGTCTTCACCCCCATCCTATCGCCCCCCCAATGCACCACCCACCAAACCACCCCAACCCAACCCGAAGGCCCCAATTTGCCCTCCACTCCCAGTGGGGAGGGGTCGGGGAACATTGAAAACACACAAATGAAGCCCGTACGCCCCCCCCAACCCGAAATTTGGGTCTTCGGGTTGGGTTGGAGTGGTCTGGTAGGTAGTACAGTCTTGCGGATAAAGTGGAGGAGGGCGGAAAGGAGGAGGAGAAGGAGGGGAAGGGGGAGGAGGGAGAAGGGAGGACGAGGAATAGGCGGATGATGAGGAGGAGGAGAAGAAGAGGAAGAGGAAGAGGAATATGGCGAGTTTGGGGGGCCTGTTGGGGCGTCTTGGGATCCTCTTGGCGGTCCCAGGCGCCTCTTAGAGCGTATTGGGCTCCTCGCGGGGCCTCTCGGGGGTCTCTTGAGAGTCTCTTGGGGGCATCTTGGGGCATCCTTGGCGCCTCTCGAGGCCCTCTTGGGCGGCTATTGGGAGCCTTGGGGGCGCTTCGATGGGGTACTTATCTAGCCCGGCCCTTCTAGAGTCTAGAGTGCCACAATTTGTCTCGCGGACCCCTTCGTGGACCCCGCTTGGAGCGCTCTTGGGCGCTCTTTGGGCCGTCTTGGGGCTCTCTTGGGCCTCTCTTGGGCCCCCTTTTGGAGCCATTTTGAAGCCTCGGAAGGCCATCGAACGCAAAAAGGCAGTAGGGCAACTTGTTTCGATCTTTCTTAGGTGTGTTGAAGGAGTCTGGCCTCTTGGCGGCCTCCTTGGGAGGTTCCGTGGCCACTTGGAGCTGTCTTGGAGCGGTTTTGGGGCCTCTAGGAGCATCTTGGGAGCCATCTGGAGCCATCTTAGGCTTTCTTGAGCTATCTTGGAGGTCATCTTGGGCTCTCTGAGGCCCTCTCGGAGCTATCTTGGCCCATCTCGGACGCTCCAACGCCTCGCGACACCCCCCTTCCAGGTCCAGGGGAGGGGGTAGGGGGAGGGGCAAGACCCTCCCCGAATTGGAAGAGGGGGGTTGGAAGAGAAGCCGCCCTAGACCACCCACGCCCAGAGGGCTGGTGGGGCGAATTCGCGCCCACCTCCATCGGGACGGTTTCTCATAGAGTCTTACCCCTGCCCCAGTGTCGGGCCCACCTTGGCCAGAAACACGGAGCCTTGGGGCGATCGACCTTGCCCCGGGGAATGGGTCGGGGCATCTGGCAGGGGCCGCGGAGAGAAACAGCTCGTGTCGGCGGAAGTCGGTCCTCCTCCTTCTCCTCCTCCTCCTCCTCCTCCTCCTCCTCCTCCTCCTCGGACGGCTTTGGTTCGGAAGTGTTCGGATAGTTGCGGTGATCCCTTGTTAGGGCTCGGGAGATGTTGCTTTTTCGCCGCTTCTCGTGAGTATTTGACGTTTTTTTGTTCGGCAGTCCTTTGATGTTTTCGGTGACCCTTTCGGAGTGTTTCGGAAGTGTTTGCGCACTTGCTGTTGATTTTGGCAATCATCGGGGGTTTTCGAGGCGCGGGGTGGTCCCTATCGGGCCGCCTGGAGCCCGAGCTGTGGGCCAAGATGCCCTCTGGGAGGGCATGGCGCGCGCGTGGCGGGAGCCAGCCAGTGCCATCTGGATCCCCCCCGGCCGACACGGGTTTGGGAGCAACGTGGACCCAGGGCTCCCCAACGGGGCCCGAGTTGATGGAGTCCTGGGATCTCGCCGCATCGCCTAATGTAGCTGTAGGTGACAGGCTGCCGATGGCCTGGACACCCTCGGCCGAAGGCTGAGAAAAGCAGTGGAAGGTGGGGAAGAAACCGGCCAAGAGTCGCCTGAGCCCACTCCGGGCCAGAGTCAAAAGCAATGGGCCGACCCCCAACAGCCAATTGATCGCCGATGCATCGGCGATGCGGCTCGGCGTGAAGCCAGGTTTTCGCCACGCCGACGGCACCGATGCATCGCCGACGTCGGCGATGCAGCGCGATCCGTGAACCCCATCTACTCGGACCCCGTTTCGGAAGCCTTTAGTGGAGCCGGCAGAACCCCTCACCCCGCTCAGCCGTGTTGGGCGGCAAGTTTGCAACGTAGCCTCGCTTGGCTGACCCGGGGTTGGCGCTGACTCAGGGCAAGTGCGCCCCCGAAGGGGATCGCAGGGAGTGGTTCAGTGGCCTTTCGCCAGAGCGGCCCCTGAGCGCGGGCCCACATGAGACCACCCTGCCCTGAGATGCTGCGCACGCTGAAGCGCAGCACACGCAGCGTGTCCAAGGCGAACACGCTGCGCGGTAAGGGGGGGGGGGGGGCATGGGAGGCCCCGTGGAGGCCCCAGTAAGGCTCCAGTGGGCCCCGACCAGGCCAGGCGGGGAGGCTGCCCCAGCAGGCAGGCATCGGAGATGCCCGCGGCAGGCCTGGGAGTGCCCAGGCTGCCAGGCCGTTGGGGATGTCCCTCGTCGGCCCAGGGTTGGCCTGCGGCCAAAAAAAGCCCGCCTGGTGCCGCAGCTTCGTCGCGCGGGGGCCCGCCGGACCACGCGAGGGCGCGTTCGGCCCGGTCAGGCTGAGGCCAGCCTGCCAGCAGCGGCCACGAGGAGGAGAGCCATTGCTCCTCCGCCCTCCCTCTTCCGTAGCATGCCTTCTCCAACTGTCGGTTATCGTCCTTCTACTTCATCCTCCGTCTTCTCTCTCTTCCCCTCCATTTCTGTCCTCCTCCTCCTCATCATCATCTCCGCCATCCTCCCCTGCTCCTCTCAATGTTCTCCTCCGTCATCCTCCTCCCCCTCCTCCTCCACAATGACTCAATATGAATACTACTCTCCCTCTTCCCCCGAAGGCGGCCTGAAAGTAGTAGACCCCCCCCCCGCGTACTGTTTTTTTACACGCAGGATTCCCAGGAGTTGGGTTTTCGCCTGCTTTTTTTCAAAATGTTGCTCTCGCTGAGGCGCCGGCTTCATTTCTGCTCCCGAATCGTTCCGAATCGTGCTCCCGCTGCAGCGTGGGCCTAATTTTCGGATCGGTGTTTTGCCTCCGTCGTTCAGGATGGCGTTCTCGCCCCAGCGCGGGCCTCTTTCTCGCGCGTCCATCCGCCCGCCACCACCGCGCCGCACCACGCCCCGCCCCGCCGCACGCACACCCACCGCCACCACGCACGCACGCACGCACGCGCACCACCACCGCGCACCGCCACCACCACCGCACTACCCCACCCACCACCACCACGCTACACCGCGTCACACCACATCACACGCGCGCACACACAGACACACACGCACGCACGCACGCACGCACGCACGCACGCACGCACGCACGCACACGCACGCACGCACGCACACACACACACACACACACACACACACACACACACACCACACACACACGCACGCACGCACGCATGCACGCACGCACGCACGCACGCACACACACACACACACACACACACACACACACACACACACACACACACACACACACAACACACACACCACCACCACCGCCACCACCACCACCGCCATCACGCACGTACGCACCTGGCCCACCACCAAACCACCAAGACGCCACACCACGTCACACCACAGCACACGCGCACACACGCACACACACACACATACACACCACCACCACAACAACCACAACCACGCACACACGCACGCACGCACGCGCACCACCACCCACTACGCACACGCGCGCGGAGCCACAGGTCCGCTACGACACGCGTCCGCGGATAGAGAAAATCAGCGCCATGGTAAGGGATGGGAGGGAGGGGTAGGATGTCAGATGTTGACGCGAGCGCGATTGTCCTCCTCCCCCTCCCCCCTCCCTCCCCCTCCCCCCTCCCCCTCCTCCTCCTCCTCCTCCTCCTCCTCCTCCCTCCTCCTCCTCCTCCTCCTCCTCCTCCTCCTCCTCCTCCTCCTCTCCCGCGCCCCTCCGAGTGTGTGTCGGGGCCCCCCGCCGACCCGCGGCAGCTGTGCCGTGGGCCGGCAGGGGCCCACGGCGGGCGCGGGCAGGCGGACCGGCGCACGCCTGCCGTGCACCCACGCCTGCCGAGAGAAGCCTGAGGCGGGGCCCATAGAGAGAGTCCCACAGTGAATCGGAGGTGGCTGACGCGTCGATCAGCGAAGTGGCCGGTGTCGGTTCGCGAGAGAGTGCGTCGCGGCCGTCATTTTTGCGGGTCCAGGTCCGTCGGTTTCAGTCCTAGGCCGTTTGCACGAAAGGGAGGTTTACGAACGGGAGGTTTGTCCACCGCCGAGTTAAGTCGGGCCTGTCCCTGTACAAGGGGGAAACTCAAAAATTGTAAAAAATGGTCTGGCGACGAATCCTTTATCATGTTTGACCATGTTGGAACATTTTTGGAGTACTTTTTTTATGTTTCGTCCAGAATCCCCCTGGAGGGGACATGCCCGACTCAAGCCTACAGTCAACCCGCATAATAAGGATGGGCAGTCGTCCCAAGGCTACCCTTGCATCGCCTTGCCTCCTCGGCCCATGAGTGGCCACGTTCGTTGATCGCGCCCTGCTCGAAAAGTGTCGAAGCGGCCTTCCAAGGCTCTTGCATCCTGAGCGTGCCTCCTCATGCGACGGGTCGACTGCACCCCTGCCGTCCCCCTCCTCCCTCGCCCTCCCTGCCCTGCCCTGCCCTCCCCCCCCCCCCCCGCGACCGCGGCGGCGGGGACGAGCAGGCAGCGCCTGGCAGGAGCCGCTCGACGAGGCGGCCTGGGCCACCCCGTTCGCCCGGGCCTGGCGGGCGGAGCGGCTGGTGTCGGCGCCCTTCAGCGTCTGCCCGGGCCAAGCTTCAGACGGGGGGCCCGCCGTCCGGCGGACGGCGCCGACGTCGGCGACGACGGCGACGACGCCGACCTGCTCGGCGGCGGCGACGGCGGCGGCGTCGGCGGCGGCGGCGGCGGCGGCGACGGAGCGGCTGGTGTCGGTGCGGCCACGCGCGGCTGCTCGCCCATGCCGGCGCATCCCTCACAAGCTGCGCGGCCCCATAGTTCTGGGGATCTCCACAGAAGACGATATCAACAATTGCGGCGTTTGTGGGGCCACGGAGCGTGCAAGGAGGTTGTGCCGAGGAGTGCGGTGCCGCCATGCGGCTCCTGTCGCTGGGGGCGTTCGATGGAGCTCCGTGGGGTGGCCCGAGGGACGGCAGAGGCAGGGATGGAGCTCCGTTGGGTGACCCGAGGGACGGCAGAGGCAGGGACGGCTCCCGTGGAGCTCCGTTGGGTGACCCGAGGAGGAGGAGGAGGAGGAGGAGGAGGAGGAGGAGGAGCAGGAGGAGGTGGAGGTGGAGGAGGAGGAGGATGATGATGAGGAGGAGGAGGGTGGATGAGGAGGGTCATATAGGAAGGGGGTCACGCGGGGGGCTGCGGATTCAAAGGGAGGGCGCACCATCACAGGGTGGTCGGGAGCAGGGTGGCGAACAACGCGGATAAGACAGTCAGCATCAACAGGGTGCACTCGTCCCTTTCTCTTCTTTTCGCTTCTCTTCTCCTCCTCCTCCCCCTCGCTTCTCCTCCTGCACTCGTCTCTTTCTCTTCTCTTCTCATCTCCTCCACCAGTCTTCAGACACAGAAGCCAGTTCCAGAGGGGTCCGTTCGTCCGTCCGTCCGTCCGTCCTCCTCCTCCTGCTCCCCCTCCTCCTCTTCATCCATTCCTTCTCCGTATAGATAAATCTACCCTATCGCACCCCGATGAGAGTTTTTAGGGTGGGCCGGGCGTTTCGCCTGAGACTTCCTCAAGGTTATGACACTGAAGGTTTAAAACAGTTTTACAGATGGAGGGCGGGTGGTTTTCAAAATGTGGCTCTCGAATTAGCGCCATGCACATTCTTTTTAACCGTTTGCAAGAGTTTCATGGATTGAGGGCGGGTGGTTTTCAACAGGTGGCTCTCACCTTATCGCAGCGCACATTTTGCCTGAACAAGTTGCAAGAGTTTCAGGGATTGAGGGCGGGTGGTTTTCAAAATGTGGCTCTCGCCTTATCGCCGCGCACATTCTTCTTAAACACCTGCAAGAGGTTCACGGATTGAAGGCATTTGTTCTCGCTTTAGCGCCGCGCTCATTCGTTTTAACAATTGAAGAATTTCACGGATTGATGGTGGTTGGTTGTCAAAATGTGGTTCTAGCTTTAGCGCCGCGCACATTCATTTGAAGACAACGCAAGAGTTTCACGGATTCCCATGATCAACGCACCAGAAATGGCGTGCTGGAAGGATTCAGGATTATGCGGGCGCAACAGTTATGTTGATTCGCTGTGATGAAGTCCAAAAGATGGCGGTCTGGCACGGTTCTGGGTCGTCAAGACGCAGCAGTCAGATTGATACGTGGCGTTGAAATCCCGAGAACAATGTTTCGGCACGCTTCGGGATCTTCAAACTGTTGTCTTCCAACGAGGCAGTCCCCTCAATGGAAATGAACCGCTGTAGGGGCCATGGAGAGGGAGCTTGGAGGGAGGTTTCATTCCAACATCGTTGATGACTCTTGGGTTTCCACTGGTCCTCCTGCTCCTCCTCCTCCCCATTCCTCCTCCAATCTTTTTCGAAACCGGCCCCCAGGCGGACCCTTTCCGAGGACGGTCCCGGGCCTGGCCCCCCCCCTTAACAGCGCCTCTGGCGCCGCTCCTGCATGGGGCGCTCCGCGCACCAGAGAAGGTCCTCCCCTCCCCGTCGCGAGGTCGGCATGTTCGGCGTCGGACTGCTGCCCACGCTCCGGTGAGCACCTGCGGGCGAAGCGCGGCGGGGCCGCCCCCGCGGAGGATGAAGCCACCACGGGCCCGCGGAGCCTCGGCGGCGGCGCCGGCACGGCTCGACGCTCCGCCGCTGCCCTTCGCCTCCACTTTGACGCTGCGCGTCCTCCCTCGCTGCTCCTCCGCCTCGTCCATGTTCCGGCTCATCCTGGTCCCTCCTCCCCCTCTTCTCCCTCTTCCCCCTCCCCCCTCCTCCCCCTTCCCCTGCTCCGCCTTCTCCTCCTGCTACCCCTTCTCCCACCATCCCCATCCCGCTCCTCCTCCTCCTCCTGCTCCTCCTCTTCCTCCTCCTTCTACTCCTCCTCCTCCTCCTCCTCCTCCTCCTCCGCCTCCTCCTCCTCCATTCCTGTTCCTTCTGAATAACTCCTCCCTCACGCAGCCCGAGGCTGGTCGAAAGGGTGGGCCCGGCGTTTCGCCTGAGGCGTTTCGCCTGAGACTTCTTTATTACTTCTGAATCTAAAATTCCAAATTTGCGGCAGTTTCGCAGATGGAGGGCGGGTCGTGTTCAAAGTGTGTTCTCGCTTTCGAGCCTTGCATACTCGCTTCAAAAAGATGCAAGTGTTCTACTGCTGAAGGGCAGGGGATTTTCAAAATGTTGTTCTCGCTTTGGCTGCGCTGGAGGGCGGGTTGTTTTCAAAATATGGTTCTCGCCTGAGAGCCGCACACACCACCAATTTCCTTTAACAGTACAAGAGTTGCTCGGATGGAGGGCGGTTTCTTTTCAAAATGTGGCTCTCGCCTTTGCGCCGCAGACATTCGTTTTAGTTTCAAGGATTCTCATGGCTAACGTCCCAGGGACGGTGCTTTGGCACGATGTCGGATTGTAAGGGCGCAACAGTTGCGTTGATTCGTGGTGTTCATGTCCCAGGAATGGCGTTCTCGCACGATTCAGGATCGCTAAGACGCAACAGTAACGGTGATTCGCGGAGTTGCAGTCCGAGGAAAGGTGTTCTAGCACAGTTCAGGCTTCTCAAACTGTTGTCTTCCAACGGGGCACCTCCTTCTGTGATTATGATTCCTTTTATTGGGCCTGCGAAGAGAGAATGTGAAGGGAGGGTGTACCGCGATATCGTCGACGAGTCTTAGGTTTGCACTGGTCCTCCTCTGCTCCTCTTCTTCTACCCCCCTCCTCCCCATGCAGGTCCGCCTACGATCCGATTCGATGCGATTCGGCTCTATTCACCGGCATCGGCCAGGGCCGGCCGGAAGCGGGGCGCGGCGAATCGCGATCCGATTCGGGACGATTCGCTGGCGATTCGATCCGCTCTGGATCCGATCCGATTTCGCGATCCGATCCAGCGCAGACCTGCGATACTCTTCCCCCTCATCCAGCGGGGGGCTGCGGCGGAAGAGGGCGTCCCCGGCAAGTGCGCCGGTGACAGCAGGGCCCCCCGGCAGGGACAGCTGGCAGCGGCCAGCGGGTGCAAAACCACCGCAGCAGGCATCAACGATCAGGTGCTCCTATTGTGGCGCCATCAGGGCCTCGAGGCAAGACCTGACAGCCGCGAGACAACTTAGCAGGGACCCTCACCAAACAGAAGCCAAAGCTCACCCTCGTCCTCCTCCCCCTTCTCCTATCGCACCTCCTGCCCCTCCTCCGGTCCTTCCCCAGACACCTTTGCGTCAGACCTTTTTGTAACCAGTTTGGGTCGTCGGGGGTCTCCTGCTCCCCTCCTCTTTGGGAGGTCGAACTCAGCATCGGCCGCGTTACATTCCTCGTCGCAGTCCGACCTAATCCCGCTACGTCCCGCCTGAGTGATACGGTCCACTTTCAGGAGGGAAAGAAACACACAGACACAATTAATCCTCGATTTCCCAGAAAATATGGGAAAATATGGGAAGTGGGGGGAAGACAAAAACCCAGAAAATATGGGAAAATATGGTGGATCCTTTTATTTGTTCCCCTTCACACTTTGAGGGACGGATGGGGGGAGGGAGGGAGGGAGGGGGGGATCCCGCTTCGTTGCCCCTCGATTTGACTGAGCAGTACCTCGTCGGTTGCACGAAGGCCTCCGAGGAGTTATTTCCTCACTGCTTCTCCTCCTCCTCCTCCTCATCATCATCATCATCATCAGCATCATCATCATCATCATCATCATCATCATCATCATCATCATCATCATCTCCCTTCTCTCGCCTCTTCATCTTCCTCCTCCCTCCCCCATCCGCCTCCTCCTCCTCCTCCCTCCCCTCCTCCTCCTCCTCCTTCTCCTTCTGCTCCGTCCTCCTCCTCCTTCCTCCTCCTTCCCCCTCCTCCTCCTCCTCTCCAGTCCTCCCGCCCCCGAGAGATGCTTGCTTTGTGGTTCTCGAGCTCGGCAGCCCGCGCGCCCTGTCTCCTTGTCGACAGGCAGCACGTCTGGCAACGTCTTCCCCGGCAGACTTGAAGGTCCAGAGGTGCCACGGGTACTCCTTATTTCATAATAAAGGGAGGGGGGTCTCATTTCGGAGGCGGGGGTCGCTTCCAGGCTATCTTGGAGGGCCTGGGGGGTCTGGGGACGATGTTTTGGAGGGTTCTCCCACGGGGGAGGTCTGAAATGGCTTGTCTTGGAGGGTCCAGACCCCCTCCCTTTTATTACGATATCTGGAGTACTGCAGGTTCGCGCCGTCTTGACGCCGCCGCGACCCCAGCGCGGGCGTTCAAGGTTGCGCGCCACCAGTGGCCCAGAACCGGCTGATCTCAAACAATCTGCGCAGTCGGACAGCGGCGTCCGTTCAGTGTTGAACGATCCACGCGGTGTCAGGAACCAACGCGCACGTTGTTTCGACTCAGCTCTGTCGTAGCCGAGAGGGGGAGGGTCGACTGGAGGGGAGAGGAAGGATCGATGATCGATGATATATGGCGTTGTATGTTTCTTCTGCCAGGTGTAAGCTGCTGGAGCCTCTGGAGGCACCTTCTGGAGACCTCTGGAAACCGATACCGAGCCGAATATGCTCAGTTTTTTTTTTGCGACTCTGAAATATCCTGCCACCTTCAGTGCGCCATGCTCTGCTTCTGGACGCCGTTTCTGCACCCCGATGACATCAAAAACAAGGCAGCGGGAGGGGTTAGGACTTCAACCAGTCGTGCCGCAACGCTCTCACTTCCAGGGCGCTCCGAAACGGCCGTGGCGCCCGATACGTCCTTCTGATCCGAGGTGCCCACTATCAGAGCGAGGGGGCCGAACGGTCATTCACTGTCCCATGGCGCGTGGCTCAAGTGGGGTTCTGCAGTGCGGATTGTTGTGGCGTTGTTGTTTGATCTTGTGCTGCTGAATATCACTGACCAAACAAGTCTTAGTATATATTTGGATCCCCTATATCCGCCCGGGCGCTCTCGCCTTGGCGCGCGGCTGCATTCTCTTGGAAATTGAGGCTCGCGCTCGAGCGTTTCGGGGTACCGCCCAATCCGCCCCCCAAACAGCAGCGACGCTCCCGCGCGATGTTTCCGCACGACCTCCTCCGCGAGGCCCTGGCCAGGGAGGGCCCGAGCCGCCGAGAGGGCGTTCTCGCCTGAGACCCCCCTTGCAATGTACAGCACCACTGGAGGGGTCCTGCAGAGCAGTCTTGCCACTGCCTGCGGATGTCTTGCCACTGCCGGCGGGCGGGAGGGGCGCAGGGCGTGGGCATTCCTTGTGTGTTCGTGGAAGTGGTGTATTGCTTACGTGGTGTTCTGCTGTATGTGGGCATTCAGGCGCTGGGAGCGTGTCGTCCTCCTCCTCTTCCCCCTGTTCCTCCTCCTCCTCCTCCAGAACCCTCCAACTCCTCCTACTCCTCCTCCGCTTCCTGCTCCTCCTCTTCCTCCTCCTTTTCCTCCTTCTCCTCCGCCTCCTCGTCCTCGTTTTGTTCAAGGATGTCACAAGCGAGAGCCCCATTTTGAACAGAAGACGTCTTGAAGGAGGTCGTCTACCACCTCATTGCTTCGAGGACGTCTCGAGCGAGAGCCTCATCTTAAGATTTCGACGAGTTCGCAAGATCCCTGGGTACATCATTTGTCGTGAGGATGCTTCGAGCGGGAGCCTCATGTTTAAGATACAGCGTCTTCAACCACGTCCTTGAAGATCTCACGTCTCCGTGGATGTCTCGAGCGGAACGGCCGTGCCGAGGGGAACCCGCCAAGCGATGCATGAATTTTCGACCGCGAGCCGGTTGCCCCTCGCGAGTTTGCTTTTAGTTCATTCCTGATCACCATAGCCCTTTGTGGGCCCCGGAAACGGCAGGGCCGTGTTTTCCACCGTTTCCAGCAAAAATGACTTTGAAAATGGAAACGGTAAAAAAACGGCGACCGGAAACGGCAACAAAAACAGCTCCAGGAATGGAACCGGAGCGGGAATCCGTACAAGAACGGCGACGGAGCTGGCAAAGAGAACGGCGTCGGAACCGGCACAAAAACGGCAAAACGGAACCGGTTAAACAACGGCCTGGTCGTTTCCGGGGCCCACGAAGGCATCGCCTAAGAGACTCCCATCACGTTCTCGTTCCGAGAAGGCGATTGCCGGCAGCCGCCGGGAGGCGGCCCTGCCGCTGCCCGTGGAGGCCCCAGGACGCTCCAGGCACGTCGTGTGCTCGGGACGACGCGTCTGTTCGGCCCCCACGGCCCCCCAGAGGGCCCCAAGCCAAGCCCCATGGAGACACTTGTCTGGGCTGTGAGGTGAGCTCGAGGAGCGTGTCTCGGCCCCAGCCGCTCCCAGGAGGCCCCAGGAAAGATGTTTCTGGATTCGGATAGTCGGGACGCGCTTTTTGCCCCCCCCCTCCCCCCCTCCCTCCCCCCCTCCCCCCTCCCCCCCGGGGAGGGGACGCGCTTTTTGCCCCCCCTCCCCCCCCCCCCCCGCCCCAGCAGGCCCCAAGAGGCTCCAAGAGGCCCCAGGAGACACTCTCCTGTGCTGTTAGATGTGTTCGGGGGATGCTGCTCGGCCCCCCGTAGGCTTCTCCCCCATAGGCTTCGCCGCCCCTTTCTTGTGACTCGTGTTTTTTTGTGTTAAACGTTTGTCCG